AACAAGCCCATATCTCAACAATTTTTCTACCTATAAAAAGCGTTTTTCTGAAATATACCAAGAGAAACGCCATGATCAGAGCTGTTCTATAGTGATAAAACTACGCCTCACCTGTCTCTGCACTCTCCGCTGATGGCCCCTGGACCGTAACATGGCCCCGGCTCCTGCATTTTCTACCCCACCACTCTTCCTTTCTCTGCTTCACAACCTGTTACTTATCACACAGGAACACAAGCAAACCCAAGTCGCTTTCTCCATGACCATACTTGTTTGGACAAAGTGCCCTAAACTGGCAGGGGACCAGGGTTAAGCCTATATGGAGCAGCCCCGTGGGATTGGGGGAAAGCCCAAGAAAATGGAGGTATGAATTAGTAAATGCCATTAAGTATTCATGGTACATACATGCGCATAAATAAGTGCAGTTATGTGAAATTAACCGTAAAGTGGTAGTTGGAATATTTATGAAGATGCACTTATTAAATGACTTCCTCGTATCTAACCTCTTCATGCTGAATGGACTTAGAATGCAAGTTTTGGGCAGGAGCTACTTTTTATTATTTACTGTGTCTTGATTTAATACAGGCGAGACAAATTTGCAAAGAGTATTTCGTACACAAAGTAATTCAAAGTGCTTTACTGAACAAGAAGGGCTCATTAAAATTGCAATACAAACAAAGAGGTTAATAAAAACATAAATAATCATCATAATATTGAGTTTAAAAGAGAAGAGTGCAGAATAAAAACCTCAGCTGAACAGAACTGTTTTGAGTGTAGATTTAAAGGTGCTATATTTCAAAAAACTTACTCTTGTGAGCTTTAAGCCATGTTAGAATGTTGTTATCTCAACCCTCATTAAAAACAGACCTGGAGTTGTGTTTTGTTTCATTCACACATGTTTAAGTAATCCTTTATAATCAGTCTGTAATTATCAGATGTTATAACATAGATCAGAAAATAGCAGAATATGGGCCCTTTAAACATTGTCAGAGCAGAGGCCTGTCACACATCTTCAAGAAAACTGAAATGCTGATGTTTAGTCTGACCAGCAGGAGGCCAGTTCCCGAGGTCCTCAGAGTGTGAGATGGTTCATATTCCACTAACACATTGGTGCTAGGACATGAAGAGACTTGTACTCAGAGCTGCTTTACGCTACACCATTGGTTCTCAAACTTTTACTGCCACCATTGATTCACTACATCTTTTTAATAGTTATTCAGCCACCTGCTCATCTACATAGAGATGGACTTGCTTTGCCTAGAATATTCCACAGCATGGCTTTAAATATCCTTTATCTGTGGCAGCGCCCAGACTGTGGAACAATCTTCCTCTTCCTGTCAGATCCTCTCAGTCTGTAACACAGTTTAAGACCAGACTGTAGTGATGTAACTATATCCAAATCTCTAGGTACAATATTATCACGATATACATCTCACGGTACGATATTTATTGTGATAATTTGGAGAGGCCTAGATTATTTTGCTTTTAAAATACTCTGACAAGAATTTGGTGTGAATTAACAAGAATTCAAATAAAAAACATATCACTTCATGTTGTCTGCTGAAATGAATCATGGGATATGTAGTTCCCTATGTTTATAAGCTGTTGCTACTATAAAACAATGCATTTAAGGAAAGGATTTTGCAATTCGCTATATTGTGACAGTCCACAACGTTTGATGATACGATATCACAATATTTCGGTTACTGTTACATCCCTACTAGACTGAAAACTCACCTCTTCTCCCTGGCTAGTCAGGTTATCTTGGTGTTTTTATTGTAGTTTTCACATGTTATCTGTAAATATGTATATGCAACTGTTTCTTCTGTTTTGTTGACTTGTATGTGAAGCACTTTGTTCAGCTGAAGTTGTTTTAAATGTGCTATATAAATAAACTTAAATTGAATTGAATATTATACAAAATTGACTTTTTTGATCTTCAAGCCATGTTATAATGTTGTTACCTCCTCAAAAACTTACCTAGAGTTGTGTTTTGTTTCATTCACACATGTTTGAGAAACTGTCTGTCTACATCTCCAAAGCTCAAAATGTTCTGCTGTTCCACCTTATGATGTCATGAAGTGAAGTGAAGCTAGGTCAGTAGAGATTGGTAATTCCAGGGCTGAAATTATCCAAATAATTCTATTGAAAATTGGCCCTTTAAACTAGTTTAACTATGGAGAAAAGCTACTGGGTCAAGTTATAGATTAGCTCTATAAAGAGGTGACTTCACTTAGAGTAAAAATCAGGGTTTCCACTCTTTTTCACTGACAAAATTTCAAAACCTTTCCATGACATGACCTAAAGTGAATTTTCCATAACTTTACAGCACCCTACATGTGTAGAATTGAGCATACTTTTAGGGCTAAATATGAATTGTTAACCCTTTCCACTCACTTTATGGTTAGGTATTATATTTTTTTAAACTTTTAAAATACAGTCATTTTGCATTTATTGTCGTCTCTTTTAAACAAAAGGCACAGACGTTCGGAAATCATCATAAAGCCTAATGATAACTTAACAGATCGCTGTAGTTGCATGAAAAAGACACTAAAATTCCATGACTTTTCCAGGATTTCCATGACCCTGGGAACCCTGAAAAATGCGTTATGTATTTATTTTAACAGTTTTAAGCAATACAAACACCTGTAATTGAATAAATGCAAGATCAAAACTTGAATGCCATACTGTGGAGCGTTCCAGGTAATACAAAAACAAATCCATGAAAACAAGCAGCCGCTAATGCACACCTCCTCACAGCGAAATACAACTCTGACATTTCTTCTTCCAGCACTAGAAAGTGTTGTAAATAATAATTACAAAACAACTTCTGTCAACAACATCTTCAAATGTTGGTCCGTCCCGCTGAATACACCCCGCGGTTTCATTATCTGGCAACAGCTCACGCAATCTCCAATTATGAGCCAGCTTGTGAATGCGCCCAGATCAATATTTGTCAAAAGAAGAAAGTCTGGCTATTGGACATACTGCGTTTTGAATCAATGCAGCTACAGCAAGTACAATTGTAGCTTTGTGAAGACTTTCGATTGGTCCACAAATAGTCCCCGAGAGGCTGAGAAACGACAAATATGATAAAAGACAATGTGCATTTTGTCTTGAGACGAGAGGGGACAGGAAGTGGGGCTCAGGTTAGTTTATTTTACATTGCGTTATGTCAATTATTGCTACACCACACTTTGTTTTTTTTTTTTTTTTTCTGCATTCCTCTTATTTCAAACACAGAATGTAGAATGTTAAATGCCCTGTCTTAATGTTATTGCTTCTAGTTCATTAAAAGATAAAAAAAAGTAAGGACATGGAGGAAATTTAGATGGATTTTTATTGTCCCCAAGGGGAACGCTGATGGAGGAAGATGGACTCTAAATGCATGTTTATGAATGTGGCAATAAAACACTACTCACTTTTACCTCTGATTGCTACTGTCTTAACCTGTATCACTCACTGCATTGATATGTGTAGCACTTTGAATTGAACCCTGCTTTTTATCAGTCTTTCTACTTGTTATTAATCTGAAAAGGGTCCAGTCAATAGAATTCCAGAGGATGAGGAAGAGAGCGAAGTTTCAGGCAATCACATGAGCCAATCGACATGCTTTCATATGAAAATATTATAACTGAGTGTGTTACATCATATCTATCATTTGCAATATTTGGTACCTTGTTAGGAAGTACTAATAAAATGTTTTTGACTTTAAATAGATATGTTTTCGGTGCTATGAACTCAAACAGATCAACTATGTGCTGCTTAATTACTATTGACCCGCAATTAGTTGATTTGGCATATTTGGTTTACAATGATGGGAAGAATATTTTGAAAATATATTAGAGAATTGTAGTTACAGAATACTGAATATCTGAATTAGGGCAGCATATCATTAAGAAGTTCAGATATACAATACATATCTTGATACATAGGCCACGATACGATACATATCTCGATAGAGTGCACTTTCGATACAATATATTTCAAATCAATTCGATACAGTTCAGTAAAAAATAAAGGCTAAATGATGGCTGTGATACTAATAGTCTTTCTTAAACCACTTCTTGTGCAAAGTGAATATGAAACACAAACATTTTAATCATTAAAACTGTGAAAATATCAAATGTGTTGCATAAATAAGTTTTCTTCCCGTAAACAAGCGACAAAACTGTAGCGCTGTAACAAAATAATTTAGTACAGTATACCAAAAAATACTCTTGGCGACATATCAATACAGCAGCCCATGATATCAATACTGTAACATCACATTCAACGATACGATATATCGATATTTCAATATTTTTGCACACCCCTAATCTGAATTACAATGTATTTTTTAACATATTCCAATACATGGTCCAATAGAAAAGGAACAATCCATGTGCAGGCACCACAAGAGCAGTGTTGTTTATTTTTCTTTGACTATTATTTTAGTTTCAGGCCTAAATTGCATAATCAAATACCACAATGTATTCCTCTGATTTTAGAAAAGTAACTGTATTCTATTTCTGAATACTACCAAATGGAAAAGTAACTGTACCGGAATACAGTTACTCAAAATAGTTAAAGTATTCAGAATGCATATCTCGGTACATGTATTCAGTTATTTCATTAATTAGGATTAGGAATTAGGCTTGTAGTCAACTAAAGAAATCCTAGGTCAACTAAAGACATGTCCTGCCGATCAGTTGGTCTACCAAAGTACACATTTTGGTCAACAAAGACTTCATTGACTGGTTAATCTACAAAAATACTAAAGAACTACTTCCATTCTTTTTCATGGAAAGAAAAAAGGCCATAGATACCAGCAACGCCCATGACAACTTCCTGAACAAAGTGAATCAGTCCCAACAATATACTATCTGTTCATGAGGCAACAAAAGTAATGTGAATGTTTCTCTTAAAGATAGTGGCCTTACCAATATGCAGTTTTATAATCCTTATCATATATGACAGTAAACAAATGCTACTTTAGAACAACTTCATTGGCGACCCCTCACCTCAATAAGTTTGCGTTCGTAGCTCGCCGCCAGCTCCTCGATGTCCCCTATGAACTTGTTCTGCGGAGCGGGTGCCACATCTTCACTGGACCGCAACACTGACAGCGCTGTGGGTGCAAAAAAACACACAATATAATTACACACGCATATACAATAGTGAAAAAATAACCTTCTACAATGTGACACCCAATTATAACAGCCGTGGGTTCCTGTTAATTATTCACTAGTGGAGTCGTCGGCGGAGCATTTTGACACCTGCAGGGAGTTGATGCTTTTGTTTTCACTCCGGGAGAATCATTGGCGGGGAGAAGGAGCACATCTATATAATTTACACATTAGCAGGCAAGCGCTACAATATAAATCCCCCATTTTATTCAATTTATAAAACAAAGAGATGCAGCCGAGTCAGGCATATTAGAACATGCAAGAGCAGCTCGTGGGGGAACACATGAAACAGTAAATATGTCAACTGTACTATATTGGATTGTTAAGTGGGAAAATATGGAATGTTTTAAATACCGTGGGTTATAAAAGTTTGAGAAGTGTGAGGGTATAGACACAACTAAAGAATATAGATGTTTTTTATTGTTTTGCAGCTTTGGAAAAGAATATGTAAAAAATTAAGGTTTACACTAAAGCAGAAAAAAATAGAACATCATAAGTAGTATAATAAAGTACTTGCATGTTTTATTTCTTGTTTAAAGGTCCTATATTATAAACTCTTGATTGCTGTGAGCTTTAAGTCATGTTATAATGTTGCTTACCTCCTCAAAAACATACCTGGAATTGTCTTTAAACAGAAAGTTACCCTTACAGAAAAATGTTAAAAATGGGCAAGATACAAACCCGAGACACTCGAGTTGACGACTGAATATATTAAAAGTCCTTTATTGCATGAAGGGATGCCAACACATTTTGACCAGTAAGATGGTCTTCATCAGGGCAAAGACCATGTTTACATTTTCCAGTAAGGGCAACTTTCTGTTTAAAGGCTACTGTTTTAACCCTCGTAGAGCACCTGTACTGCTATTTTGTACTCTTTTACGACCCAGTGAAGTGCTCTACCTCTTTTTCTTCATACCTGGAGTTGTGTTTTGTTTCATTCACACGTCTGATTAACCCTCTATTATTAGTCTGTCTTCATTTCCAAAGCTCAAAAAGCTCTGGAAATGTGACATCATGTAGTAGTAGTAGTAGTGGTAGTTTTTTCCTTTAGTTCAGTAGAGTTTAGCAATTCCAGGGTTTAAATTAAAATTTTCTCATGAAGGTGTAGAGTTTAAAAGCTCAGTGGAGCACTTCCTGTATTACCACATGTCATCACAAGGTGGAACAGAGAGTTTTCTAGTTGAGAGAAGAACTCCTTAACATGCTGGATTTGTGCGTTAAACGTGTGAATGAAACAAAACAAAACTCCCTGTATGTGATGAGAAAACAACATTAAAACATAGATCCGAAAATGACATAATATGGGCCTAACATGTTAACATAACATATTTAGATCACCACATTACTTGCTTTCATTGTTCTAAAAATGCCATATCTAAAATAATGTGTTGAAATAAGGGAAACACATATTAATAGCTAGGTAATAGTAAAATGCTTTTTGTCTAAGGCTGTATTTTGCAAGTACTAACCTTTAACTAGTTGCTTCCCATTACAGTAGTAGAGATCACAATAGATGTTTTTGTGCATACACTGAAATCTTAATAAGCATTAATAAGTGTTTGATTAATCAAGTACTACTTAGTTAGCTCTGCCTAAAGTGTTACCGAAATAAGTTTTGTTTTAGCGGTCCCCACTCCCCTTGCTCCCTATGCAAAGTCACTCCCCATTCAGAGTCAGTCCCCTCCAGACACAATCAGGGTGCATCCTAATGAATCTAATGAATCTATTGCTCCATGCTAATGAATCTATTGCACTTCGCACCAGGTTTGTGAAGTTGTAGTGTATAGTTTTGTATCATACTAATGGAAAATTGCAGACATAAGCTGTGGCTCCTATTGCTTTCATATTATAAAAAGAGTTTGGAAAGCACGGGAGAGATCACTAGATTACTCAAACATGCATGGATGACATCTAAAACCTCTTCAAGCATGTTTTTGATGAGGGAACAAAGTTATAACATGGTAGAAAAGTACTTTTAGCATAATAGCCCCTCCTTAAACAATTAAAAGTTTACAAATATGGTTTCTGGAGTGTGGTGGACTTGTGTCAATGCTCTGTAAATTAAAACTTAAGACTGCACATTTAATCACAATTAAATCGTTATAGCAAATCTCAAAGGCGGTAATAGATTAGGTCCACAAAGTCCTCTGCAAACCAAACAGACTCTTTAATGGAGAAAAAAGACTTGCTAAACCACTATAAAAGAGGAAGCGTTCAGAGTATATACTTTTTCCCAACCCAATTATTTAAAGTTGAACCAAAGCAAATTATTTTAAAATACATATATTAAAGGTGTGTAAATATTTGGTTGGGGGTTCCATCACTTTCTTGTTTCTATGGATATGTCATTGCTCTGGTTAGAATGTTCCACAGTATGACATTTATTCAATTGCATGTGGTTTTATTGCTCAAAAATACCTACAAAAACAGACATTCTGACAGTAACTTTGGTTTCCATAAAGATACAGTACAAAGGTTTAATGTGCTACAGTGAAATGTCCCAGAAAAAACATATCCATGGAGAAAAACATCTGACTCACCCTCCACCAAAAAAGTTACACAATGCACCTTTAAAATAAGATTAACATTTCATTTTTGGTGTGGACCTCCTCTTTGGAAGATTCTTGTTAGTTTAAGCAGTTCATATTTCATTCTACTCTCCAATATTACCGCTCCTGGGTGTGCGCAGAATTGTAATGACATTTTCTTACAAAATTATGCAGCCATAATTCCAACTAAAATGTGATACTTTGCATTTTCATTTTATTGCAAAAATGTTCAAACTAGCCACCTACCTAATCACACATTGTCCAACCAGTCAAGACAAATTCAAATTCACTTTATTAGTTTAAGTGGGACTAAATACATAAAATCCACCCACAACCACATTTCAAATAGAGCTGCGAAACCATTCAACGCATGTGGACTAAAGAAGAGAGTGAGGGGAGGAGGGGGGTGTTTTGATTCAAAACACATCATGGCAGTCTTTTGTGATGTCACCAACCACTTGAAATTGCAGTGGCCTCTGAAGACAGCACACACTATGATTTAGGCGTTCTTGACCAGAAAGATGCAGATTTACTAGTTTGATCTAAAACTGCCATATGACCAGGGTTGCATCGATCCAGCTTTTTCTGTTCTGATACCAATATCGATATTATGTCTTCAAGTATCTGCTGATACCCGATGTCAACCGATACCAGGCCAGAGACTAAAAATATTACTTATTCCCTTTAAACACAAATGGCATATGAGAAATACTTATTCAAAAGAGTTTTGTAACTTTTTTAATCATATAAAGCAGGGGTCACCAAACATTTTTCGAGGGGCCACATTATCGCTCTTGACTGTGATGGGGGCAGGGGTTAGGTAGGCTGTATAACAGAATCGTATGACCCTAGTGACACAGATTATATTCTTTGAAAACCCCCACACTTTCTTTACATATCAGACAAACTGCACAGTCCTTACACTGAACAAAAAAATAATCGACACTCTCTGTCAGGTTTCCGTACTTAAACACTCACTATTTTGCTGTCTTCAACTGCACTACAGAACTCTACACATGCGTTGACTGTCACTGTCTGATCTCGAGCAATGTCAAAAAGGTGACAAATTGTCAAATATATGTAAATAATTATTTAATTTTTTTTTTTTTTTTATGAAAAAAATCTAACAAATTACAAGATGCAGAGGTTATTATTTGCCAAAAAGTGATTTTTTAAAAAAAAAGGCCATGACAATGTTTGAGGATTGTGTCATAGGGCCAGTTCAAGTGGTGGGGGGCTGAGGGGCCTGCAAGCCTTAGTTTGATGACCCCTGATACAAAGTAATTACAAACCTGCTTTGTTTAGTGTTACAGGGTGTTTTGGGCCAATATTACAAGTAAGACAAGTAAGCTGTCTTATTACACCAATTTATGTCCCAAAATTGGATATCGCTGGACCAATATCTTGGGACTGATATCCAGTTCACTAAAACTTTCAATATCAGCGCCGATATCCAATACCAGTATCTGTGCGCCCCTTCTAAGAACAGTAAATAATGCTATTAAAAAACAACATACACACTTTAGTAGCAACAAAAAAGTGGATTTAGTGTTTAGTTCCACTTGAAACTGAATTCTTCTGGAATGTCTAATGACAGACTTCTCCCAAAACTAAATAAGAAAATTGCAAACAGGTTTTATGACATAGTACTTTGTTTAGAATTTGAAAACTAGATCTATTTCTGTCTCATTGTCCCCTCAACAAAACAGGTATTGACAGAGACCAAACTTTCAAATATACGCGCTAAACTTTAAACCATCTTGCTAGGCTATATTAGAAGTTCATTCAACCCTCTCGCATGCATTATTTGTTCTTCATAAAAGTCAAGAAAGTATGGCCAGAATTGCATTGCTTCTCCGATAACAAACTGCCTCCCTGCTCACTTCTTTTACCCCACTTTCTTTGAGATGTAGCTTATTGTCTTTTTGCGCGGCGGTGTAGCGAGCTAACTGGTTCAAGTCATTACGGCGGCGCTAGCTAGCACATAAACACGGGCTAATCAGGTTTCAGGGAGCTTGTGTGCGGGCGTCAGGAGGAGGGCTGGGATTTTTCACCTCTGCTGAAGCAAATTATCGCTGCTCTATCACCTTCAGTGCACTCGGAGAGAAAAAAATATAACTTAAAAAAGATAGCAAAAGAGAGAGGAGGGGCGGAGAGATAAACGCTGGGGTTTTCCAATGTGATATTAAAGCTTCTGAGAGCAGCTTTGCTAAATGAACAAACAAAAGAGGAGATAATGGGCAGCCTTGTTTTGTGTCTGGAGTATGTAGCGTCACTAGGGTTCTATCAAAAATCAGATACTAATCAATACTAAAACTAGCATTGGAACTAGAGACTCGTTTGAGCAGATATTGATCCTAAAAAAGCTATGTTCACAGGACCTACATGGACAA